GATGTTGAAGATGGTCTAGTCTGAACTCATCGCCTGAGTAAGAAGCAACACTGGGAAAATTCATTCACGCATCCAACAAACTTTAGTGAGCACCTATGATCTGCCAGGTACTATTTTAGGCACTGAGAAATAGATGGGTGAACAAGTGGGTAAAGCTGCTTGTTTTCAAGGACCTTACATTCTAGTGGAAGGAAAGACAAACTGTAAAGAAGAAACATAAGATAATGTGAAATTGTGACAAGACTATGAAGACAACAAAACAGGATGAGGGGATGGCACATGGCTCACCGAACTATCTTAAATAGAGTCAGTGGAGTGCTGGGGCCAGCTCATACTGGCTCTGGAGAACTGATTATATGCATCTCTTCCCTACTCTAGCTATACTACGAATCAGGGTCACCCCTTTACCAGAATTTGGTTGTTAAGCATTTAGCAACACACCACCAGATGAAGAGCTCAATGAAGTTCTCTTCCAAGCGATACTGAGGAGAGGAGTCAATATTGTGACCATGTAGGGGAAAAGAAAAAGCAAGCCCAGAGATCCTGAAGCAGAATTTGTGGGAAACCAAGAAAGACCACGCACTGTTTTAAAATAAGAACAGAATTATTCTGTTACAGAACTGTTGTAACATATTCCAATTGGTCAAAATAAACACATAAGATCAAAATAAAACAAAGAAGGGCACAAAGAACTATATTCAATTGTATGCGGTCATAATTCCCTCATTACCGTGAGGGAAAGGCCTGGTAGTGGTATTGTGGTTTTTATATTGTGTCTTATTTATTGTCTCCATTCCATCTCAAAAAAAAAGTGGAGGGACAGTTTTGGTTCCTGAGTAATTTACAAAACCACAAAATTCACCTACAAAAATATGTAAGCATGACCTATAATATTACCAGTTTGGGAAACTACAATCACACCATTTTAAACTTCTGGAGTCTGCATTATTCATGGAATTGCTGTATTTTGAGTGCACGTCCACTTATTTCTGGCATGAAGAAACTTAGGTCCAAAGAGGGTGACTTGCCAGAGATGACAATGTTAGCTGGCAGAACTAGAACCCAGGTCACCTGCCTCATCTGATGCAACATTCTCAAGGTCAGTTGACACCCTAGGACAGTAGTTCTCAAAATTAAGCATGCATCAGCATCACCTGAGGGCATGTTAAAAGTACCCCACAGGCTCCATCCCCACGAGTTTCAGAATCAGTAGCGGTAAGTGGAAGCCTGAGAATTTGCATATCTAACCAGTTCCCAGGCTATAATAATGCCACTGATCTGGGGACCCTACTTTGAGACCCACTGACCCAAGAATAGTATGAGTTTTGGAGACCAACACAGCTGAGTTCCAAGCAGCTGTGTATGACCCTAGGAAAAGCCACCCAAACTCTCTGGACCTCAATTTCTAACATCTGAGTCCCAGTATAAGGAATAAAGAATGAAAGAAAGTACTAACTTAGCCAAGGGCCTGGCACATTCTAAAGCAAGTCCTTAGTAAATACTAACTACTTCCTATAGCAAAGTTCCCTTAATAACTCTTTTCTTTTTTCACATATGCTAGAATGGCTAAAATTCAAAAGACAAGATCTAAGATCGGCAAAGATGTGGAGCGATTGGTATATTTAGAGCAGCTTTGTTCATATAGTTATTCATATACCTATTGTTCAATGGCCAATAAATCATAAAGTCCAAATGTCCACTGACGAACAAAACTAAAAAAACTGGTATATGTATATAATGGAATACTACTCAACAATAAAAAAGAACAATGGTGCACACACAATACAAAATCTCCAAAATATTTTGAATAAAAAAAGCCAGACACAAAGAAACACATACTGCACTATTTCATCCATATGAACTTCAATAATAGACAAAACTAATCCATGGTGAAAGAAACCAAACAAACAGCCTTTGCCTCTGGAGGAGACGGGGGAAAATGACTAGAAAGGGATAGGAGGGAAATTTCTGAGTTGATGGAAATGATCTATATTTTGATTTGGGTGAATATAATAGAAGTATATGCACTGGTCAAAACTCATCAAACTATATCCTTAAGATCTGTGCATTTTACTATAGATAAATATATACTTATAAAGTATACATATATGCTTTATTATATAGAGAAAATAACACATTTTATATAGCATACATATGTATATGTAAATTTTGTTAGGCACTTGGTGATAAAATGAACTAACTCCAACCTGGTAGATCCATTTACCTTGATTCCTTCACAATCCAGTCCTGCTTCATATAATACCATTTGCTATAGACTATTTTTGTCTGTGCATCTTTCCAGAGAGCCGGCGTGAAATAGAAACAGCAGAATTTTCTCCCACAAGAAAACCGTGACATTTTCATGCAGACAGCACCTAGAGTGACCCATGTTCCTGGGAGTGGCTAGTTCAGGGTACAGACAACACAAAAGTAACATTTTCCTTTACCATATAGTAAGTATGAGCCTATCGAATATGTTTAAAACACAGTAATGAAGACACAATAAGAGCCATTCGGTCATATAATTTAAATCATATTCTCGATATAAATAGGGAACCGAAGACCAGTGAAATGCTTTCTAGTGCCATTTTTCTATAATGAAGACATTAGAAGACTAACTATGCCCATGTAATTATCATATGAAACAGTAGCTTTCACTTTGTAGTGGATTCCAGGCCATTCTAGTGTCCCCATTCACATCTTTATTCTATCCCACTACAAGGAGAACAAGTAGATTTACACACACACACACACACACACACACACACACACACACACACACACCCCTGCTTGATTATTTGACCAACCCTTTCTAAAATCCATGATTAGGCAGCCCTGGGACAATGCCTCCAGGATCTTTGAAAACTGGTAGGAGGAAGAGGTTCAACCACATGCAGCATCTTGCACGCTGAAAAAGCTCCCACACAAGACCCATTAGACACCAGTAAATGGTACCCTTGGCTGTCCTTCCTCCATCCCTTTCTCCAAAATGCCCCTGAACTGAGACCTGGAGCTAGTCCCATCAAATGCTTTGACACAGTATTTTTTCTACAGTTTTATCAAGTCATGATAATCTAGGTACTGTCATTAAATTAATAAATACATGTTCCTGACACTAAAAGCTAGGCTTAGAAATAAATAACTGCTCACATTCGATTTAAATATAACAATAATAGCTCATCTTTATTGAGCAGTTACTATTGAGTGTCAGGCACTGTTCCGCATACTTTCCACTTATTAGCTTATGCAATACCCTCAAGAAAGCTAGTGTAGAGATGAGGACACATTCTCAGGTCTGGCTCTGCATTGGTCCTCAAGCAAAGCCTGGGGAGATGTTTAATGAAGGAAACACAGTCTCTCCCTTTAGTAAGCTTACCACCTTCTATGGTAATGAGGGGAGATATCTAATTCACAGTTTGGAATAAGTAAAAAAACCACAAGGTACACATTTAGGGGATCCCAGAGAAGAAAGGATTTGTTCTATCTAGCTGGATGCTAGAAGGCTTTCTGGAGGAGGTGTCCAAGTGGAAGATGTGGACATAAATGGAAGAAGCTTTCCATAACTAAGTGTCTGCCCCTCGGTTCCCAAAACTAAAAAGCCGGTCTATTTTCCCTGGCCCCCTCCTCTGTTTCATCTGCAACAGGCCTGTTTCTAAGAGAGGATCAGCCTAAACCAACCCAGCCCTTTTTTCCTTTGACACATTCCTCCAGCTGCTGTTGCCCTTCCAGAACAGCATGCACACATGGGAACTTTTTACCACATTCAACTTTGCCACCTCCTCTAGTGCTTTTAAGGGAGAGAGAAAGTGTGTCATGGCACTTGGTAATACAAGGGATCTCTTTAAGGAAATCGAGTCCTTTTCTGTTGGACAGGACAACCCCTTGCTTGCACCACTTGAGATGTAAGAGACTTCCCACCACTAGCAACCATCAAAGAGGTCATCACTCCCCTACAGGCTTCTGAGAATTTGCTTCTACCCCCTCCTCATGAGTTCACAAGAGTCAGGCCCCCATTTCTTCCTCCTCAGTACTTAAGGCTCTGTAGCAAGGGCTCAAACCCTCATTTTGATATCTGTGTGACCTGGGGCAAGTAACTTAACCAATGTCAGTCCCAGTTTTCTTATCTGCAACATGGGGTTTATAAGTACAACTCACTCCTCAGAATTGTTGTGAATCACAACAAGATAGTGCAAGGGAAGCATTTTACACAGAGTCTGGCACGTAGTAAGCTAAGAATGAAGAGTAGCTATCATTACCATCATCAGTAATGATGTTGGTGATGGTGACGGTGGTGATGCTGGTGGCTGCGTACACTTGGGCTTGATTCGCGCTGAGAGAGAAATACCCCTCCTTTTCCTCCCCCCAGCCCCCCCGCCAAGCCTGGTGCTGAGCGGAACGGTGTAGACATGCGTCATCCAGCTGTGGGGTGAATACAGGATCTTCAGGCGGCCGGCTTAAGAGGTTCCTCCGGCGCCCCCAACCCACCTGGAGGGTTGCGGGGTAACGGCGATTTTCTGATGGAGGAGATCCAATAACCACAAACCCTCTCCTAGTTCATACCCATTCTCTAGGTCTGGAAATAGACAAGTGGCAAAAGAACGCAGCACCGCCCTGCTGCATCACTCCCCCAAGGAGCCAGGAGAGCCTCCACTTTGCCCCAGCCTCGGTCCCCCAACTCTCCTCCAGATGCAGGCGAAGCTGCGCTGTACTTGGTGGCTGAAATAACAGGTTGGCAAATCAGGCCTGCGAAAAGTCTCTCTGTTTCCCAACGCAAATCCAAACCCTTCTTTCTAACGCAGGTGGGCAAACAACCCGCAATCTCTCTACAACTTTGTGTATTTCACCACCACAGGGCGCACGGCCTCAATTTCCCCTGTAAACTGCGCTCGCAGGAGGAAAGCGGGAAATCTAGATCTGGGGGATGCGGGGTGGGGGATAGCGGTCAATGCGCAGGCCGCTGCCCTTTTCTCGGTGCCTCTCAGAGGCGCGTCCCGTCTTACCTTGTCTGACGGCTTTGAAGGTGACGGCCTCCTTGCAGCTGTCGATGACTCCCAGCACGTCATAGCGGGGCAAGCCGGACACCCGGATCCCCTGCACCTCCAGAAGCAGCTCCCCCTCGCCCAGCCTAGGGCCCTCGCCGCCGCCGGGAAGCCCCGTCGCCTCCAACGCTGCCACCGCTCCAACATACGGAAACTCCCCGTTCTCCGCGCCCCCCAGCACCGTCACCCCCAGCTCGCCCTGGGGTCCCCGCTTCACGGTGCATTCGTGAACCTTGCTAGTCCAGTGATTCTTCTTCTGGATCACTTTCGACATGACGAGTTACACCTCTCCTACCCCCCAAAAAAATAATAAAATGAGAGACAGGTGCCCCCCACAGCACGAGCCCCCAAGCCACCGCTCGTTCATGGGAGAGCCATCTCCCCCCAAATAACGCAACGGGAGAGAGAAACTTGGCAGCCTCGCTCCCCTGAACACACTCGCGCACTCAAGCCATCATAAAACAAACTTTCTGGGCTTCCCCGCGAGCCCTGCACAGGCGCCCGCGAGCTTTGTTTGCATTCCAGTGCTTCTTGGTCCACGTTCCGGCGCCCGACCGTGCTCTCCCAGACCAGAGTCCACTCTGTGCCGCTTGGGTTATTTTTTTCCTTCCTTCCTTCCTTCCTTGCCTCTTAGAGATGCGGAATCTCCTCTTTACCTCCCGCCTGGTTCGCCTTTCCTCGCTGGCGGGCTGTTCCTGAGGGTGAGGGAAGCCCTTCCAGACAGTTGCTGGGAGCCCTGGAGACGCTGAAGCGGAGCGGGGGTGGGGGAGACAGGAGGGAAGTGCCTGCGGCCCCTTTAAGCAGATACAAAGGCTCTGCTTGTTTTGTTACAGTTCATTCTATTCCGCGCGGCCGAGCGCAGCGGCCGGCGAGAGAAAACGCGCGCGCATGCGCCCCGTGGTCGCCGCCGGCCGGCCCGCCCCACCTCTCCTCCCCGAAGGGAGAGATTCCAATGTGCTTCCCGTTGGGTCCTAAAACCGACCTTCCGGGAGAAGGCAAGTTACCCCCTTTCCTATGCCCCTCTTATTACTTCTTTTCTTTCAGTGCCCTAGACGCAGCAAATCTCTTTGAAGCTAGGGGGACGCTCACGTGTTTTACTCCAACTGTTTGCAACTTTTGAAACATGGGCAATCTAGCATTTTAAAACCATTTCAAACTGGTGGGGGTTGGGGAGACTCACATTCACCCTCGCCTCACACTCACGCACACTCACGCACTTACGCCGGCCTAAGCCTCTTAATCGCCCTCGGCCAGTGACAGGCCACGCTGTGAGTCACCTAACCCAGCTTGTCCGCCGCCTGCGCCCCACCCCACCCCTGCTGCATTTCCCTCTAATACCCTTATGCCTGACCCGGAGGCAGCGGTCTGCTCCCCGCTTGCAACTGCACTGCCTCTGTGCATTTGGGTCCTGGAGCAGGGCTTGCCTGCGTCTCTGGGGCCCTGAGTAGGTGGACGGTGAGGATCCCCTAAGCCTCCCAACTGGGATCCCCGTGAGTGACACACGCTCCCCCTACATACACGCATACCCACACCCTGGAACTTTGGGGGCAACTTTTTAGTACACAGAGAAAACTATAGCCGAGAAATCAATAGAAAGAAATCAATAAGGTTAGAGGGGTTTCGGGTCTTCAACCTAAAAGGGCTTTTTAACTGCCCTTCCAGCAAAGACTTCTGGAGTCAGTCATCTGTGCCGGGCTCCAGTTCCTGGCTGAGCCGCGAAGCCTGCGGCCCTGCCCTGGGGCCAGGAGATAAAGATCACCCCAGCGTCTGGGATCTGCACCCGAGTCCTGGCGCCCGCGGGGGTGTGGGTGCGGCAGACACCTCTCGCCATGCGCAGCCCGAAGGTTCGTGCCGCCTCTGGCGCCGCCCAGGGGCGGGGGTAGACGGAGCAGCTGTCCCGTCTAGGTTTAGGAAAGAGCTCCGGAGCTGCCGACAGAAAGACCCTGCACCAGGAAGGATTCCCTCCCCGAATACTCCGAAATCCGCCTGTGCGGTAGTCTCCCAAGCAATTTTTCTTCGTCAGTGACTTATATCTTGTTTGCTCATCTTTAGTCACAGGCGAGATTCTAAGTGCTTAGTAAGGGAAGTGAGCGGAAGAGACTCAGAAAGGATGGGATGCCGCAGCTCCCAGGGTTGAGATGCGGCCTCTGGGTTTAGGGTCTCACTGGTCCAATTTCTGTGTGACTTTGAGCAAGCTCCGTAACCCTTCTGAGCCTTAGTTTTTCCCCTATTGAGAATAACAGTACCCCACAAGGTTCTAGGGAATATGACATGGGCGAATACTTGTAAAGTGCTCAGCTTGTAAACTGAATACTTGTAAAGTGGAGTATAATGAAAACTTATACTGTTATTACTAGTATTAGTATTTGGAGAAAGAATTGGGAAATCATTTGGGGTTTCAAGTTACATGACGATGATAATTTCTCCTCTCATTCCTAAAGCTTAAAATATATAAGAATACATTTAAATATTTTAAAGCACTATTTGGAGAGTACTATCTAAGCTAATAAAAATACGGAAAAATGTCAATGCTTTTCTCTTGGGATTTCCAGAACTGAAAATCCCATTGCCTTGTAGTATTTGTAAAAGAAGGAGGCAGCCAATTTCCCTTGGTTCTTAGTAAGGGAAACTTCATCTCCATCCTCTTTTCTCAGAAGCAATCAGTATATTTCAAACTTGACTGGATCAAAATGAGTGGGAGTTTCAAAATGTTCCTTCCCAAGCACAAGCAACAATCCAGCCCATCAGAACCTCAGGACATTTAAGGTTCCCCTTAAGTGGTGCTGGTACATAATATTGAGGACCAGAGGTCCAGCATCTTGATTCCTAAGCATTTTTTATATCAGACCCTTTTGGAGTATAATCCTGTGGTCCACATTTTCCTCTAGAGTGTAAGCTCTAGGGGTGGCAGAGAACTTTGGCAGTTAGGTTTATTGATATATTTGCAGTTCCTAAAACAGTGCCTGGTACCTAATTAACGCACGAGTATTTTTTGAAAGAATCTCCCCACAAAAATACTCATTTTTGCATACCACCTTAGAGTGGAGTCACAGATTCCCCTACGAATAAATCACTAGTAAGCTTTACCTTGTGTGTTTCCCTGCTTCCCCACTCCATATTCTAGCAGTCTGATTGTTTGCCAAGCATTCCTCCATCTGCCTAGAATTAGTGATTTCCTCCCTACCTCACCATTGGATTCTGGCTCCCCACCTAGAGGAGTCCAAAGGATGGATAGGACCAAGTATTTGTGATTCCTTCCATTGCACCATCTTTCCTTTCCAGGATTCCAGGTGGGTTGTAACTGAGAACAGGAAAGAACTTGGAATTTAGCACACTTCGGATTTTAGATGTGGCATAACCCCAAGAAAAGAAGGGACACCTGAGGGTACAGAGGGCAGGGTGGAGAGACATATAAAAAAGTGTCTTATAATCCAAAGACATAAGTATTTTGAACCTCCAAAGCAGCTAAGACTGCCAATTTCCAGGCACTAAGTTTATGGTGTTCCCAAATTCTCTTCCTCTTACCCTTTTTGTCTAGTCTCTCACCTGCTTCAGTTCCTATGTCCCAGACTGGAAGCAACTTCAGGGCAAGAATCACCTATTCTATCCAAACTGAATCCTCAGCACCTAAACGCATGCCTTGTGTGGAATGTTCACCATACGTACTTGTTGATTGAATACTTGAAGAAATGGATGAAGTGTGACATTAAACTGCATACTATGTGACCTTTAATACAAAGCCTATTTAGATTTGGTGGCTAGAACCAAGGTGTTATAGATCATTTTCTTGAAAGAGCTTACAGTTATCTCACTTTGAAGTAGATTTTTCATGAAGAGATGTAAAGTGAGATCCTAGTGCTCTAGCTTCTCCCACTTAGGCTATGACTTTGGTAATACATTCCAATTGGGAATATAATACTCTAAAATACCTAACTTTGAGGCCTAACATGTGTGCCAGGATAATTATGTACATTATTTTATTTAATCATCACAACTTTGTGAAGTAGGTATGGCCTTGATTTTCCATGAATGACCTTGATTTTACAATTGAGGAAAGTGAAACTAAGGAAGTAAAGAAACTTGTTCAAAAGCTTAGAAGTGATAAAGCTAGGATGTCAACCTAGAGGCATGACCCAAAGCCCATGCTCAGACCACCGCACTAGGAGAGTGCAGGATGTGGCCACCTGTCATTTAGCAAATTTGGGTAACAGCGTTTTGGGGGCTCCTGACTCTGCCACATAGTATAGGCACACTAATTAAGTCACCCTCCTATCTCATCCCTTTAATCTGAAGGAATACAGTGTTCTACTCCGGAGTCCAATCTCCTGTCCCGCATCTGTGAGCTCTGAAGATTGAATAATTTACCGGAATGTAAAAATTATTTTGCAAACATTTCCAAAGTGTTTAGAGGTCTATGCGCTGTGATACAGTGATGTGCCAAACATCCTTATATCATTATTGCATTAGCATTTCAACAATGAACTTCTTAATAAACACAGTAGATTCAGATGAGAACTAAACTGTAATACAAACTCTGCACAAATTCAGATCTTATTTTCATATAGTTAGTTCCACTAAGGGGAAGTGGGATAAACCACGAATATAAAATGTGCATTTCTTCTCTTTTTCCCTAATACATCTCTTCCCAAAGTTTTCCAGTTGTGATTAAAGAAATTTATAATTGCAGTCTAAAGTGGTATTTTACCTCATTTTTCTGAAAATGTCAGGATGGGAAATAAGTTGGTCAGCTGTGGGGCAAAGAAGAACATATAAATTGGTTATCTTTTAATTTCTGAAAAATGTTATCAAGAGGCATATTTTATAGATATCAATATAAATACTTTGTACATATTCAGTAGTTACTGACTCCAAACAGGCGATTTAAAGCAACAGAAGAAGTTTAAACCATTAGTTCAGATGGAAGGTAAATGGCAGTGAGGGCCATTTTCTTAGTCATCTCCCAGTGGCACTTTAATGAGTCACTTGATAACTTGTTCTTTTCCTTCCAGGGAGGCAGATGGGTGGTTTTCTCTGACCATAGTATTTCTCCTTTTAGTACTTTCAGATAGGTAAGAACAAATAGTTAATTCTTGTAACCTTTCAAGATATCACATGTGAATTATTAGTTTAATACCCCAGAGAAGGAACTCTAGAAAGAGAGTTTAATCCTGGCTACTGTAGTGGTTCACTTCCATGGGAAAAATGAATATTGGGAATTAGAAGACTTGAAATTCAATGATAGTTCCAGAAACCCAAGAATTTATTATGGGACTCTCCCCTGAAATTTCCCAAATGATTCAGCCATATAAAACACTAAGAATCCCAAACTAGAATGTTATCCCACATAATCCTGTTGAAAATATCTGTTGATATTGTTAATTTTTTTGGAAATAGAACATTTGCATTTTATTGATTACAGACATTTGTATCTCTTTTATTCCCTCTCCCACCAACTCTATGAAAATATAATAATATGAACATGACAGATGCTTAATTAATACAGGATTTTATTATTGAACATGTTCACTCTCTTCTTCCTTATTGTATATCTTTAATAATTTACTGCACTAAAACAGAACTAAATGAGAGAAGAGGAAAATACACATTGAAACAAAGAATGCCAGTATTTAAAAAAATACTATATTGATATGTTTTTACAGAACAATTTAAAAAATAGATAAATAAAAAGGCAACATTAAATTAAGACATTTGAAATTCTATTACCAAGAGATAACCACTTTTTACATTTGGATGTATCTCCTCCTAGACTTTGGTCAATACAAATACACACACACACACACACACACACACACACACACACACAGTATGACACACAGTCTGTCTGTCTGTCTGTCTGTCTGTCTGTCTGTCTCTCTCTCTCTCTCTCTCTCT